TCTCACCGAGGCCGCCGACACAGCGGAGGGGATCACGTCCTCCACCTAGACCACAGGGTCCACCTCCAGTGGTTCACCTCGACTTGAGGGCCGCTACCGCTTGAGCGGAGTTCAAACAATTGCGTTTTGTTGAGTTTGAGGTTTGGTTTCCTCCAAGGAGGGATGAGAGAGCAGTGAGGGTTTCTACACCCCCCTGCAGGAGGATTTCTACAATGCTTATCTCAACAATTGGGGAGTGGTCAGATAATAGAGAGTTTTTCAGGATAGAGTCTATTGTGGCAGCACCGGGAGAGAGCATTCGGCCATACTTGTCATATTTGCAGGACTGACAGGATTTGATTGGATGGACGGGGATATATGTACCATCTTAGGTTCGCCATTCTATGCTTCACTCTTCATCGATCCACATCACATGTTTATTCACTTTGCTTTCAGAGGCAAAGACTACAGAGTGACGAGTGGGTGGTCGAGAGAGATCTGAGGCTACTGAGGAGCAGACTGTCGGGATACATGAGGTCTGTTATGGACAGCAGGAGCCTCCCAGGCGTCCTCACGGAGGTTTGGTGCCTCCCTCTGATTTAGTGCGACATTGCTTCAAGGAGCCTTTTGGAGAGGGGTCGAGGAGGAACCCCGGTGACTTGACTCCCACAATGAGAGTGCTAGAGGCTATTATCGGGAGGACACTTTGCTTCCCAAGTTGGGATATAAAGAGGGACTGACTCGCATGCTACGGCTTCTTAATGCCACGATGCGCGAGACAAGATTTTATATCTGGGACCTCCTTCTTTCGAGAGATGGAGGACACTATAGTTGAGGGATTCAAGGGTCGCAGGTGAGCTTCCTTATGCGACTTTGGATCACGTTTCTTATCCGCAGAGTAGTGATTGATAAGCCCCTGGTATGATGGATGAGTATCTGGTGCCACCACAGAGTTCCGACTTACAACCGTCACAGAGGATCGACACACCACTCCTCAAGCACCCCAGACAGCCTAGCCGTCGTCCCGACATGCCGAGTCCGCATTTCAAGAAGATGAGATCATCGAGAGGATTGCAGCCACCGAGGAGGAGGAGCTAGAGGCTGGCAGGAGGTGAGCGAAATACAGTGGCAGCTCGGCGGCGACTACCGACCTATACCTCGATGCCTCCCACGCAGACACACGATGCAGGCCGGTAGCTCCGATTTTGCTCCACTGCTCCATGCAGAGCAGACCCGCTCTCATTGCTATTCTTGAGCGGATGCAGCAGAGATCGACATGACAAGCACAGAGAGCGGTGCCAACTTCAAGACGATTTTGAGCTCGTCAGGGGCCAGGTTCCGGTGGCGAAAAGCAGCTCTTGCAAGCACCAAAGCGATTACTTATGCAAAGAAGGCTCATGGGATTCATGTAGCATGTAGTAGCGACCATTGGGGTTCCACCGCCACGGCCTCCTACCACTTCGATGACTCCAGCAGTACAGCCCAGTGGGCTCCAGAGTCAGGGACAGCCTCCAACTCAGTTTGCTTCACCGCCTATACATGTGTCCCAGTGGTTAGCCTCACCCGTGGTAGCCCCGCAATTCACTCCACTTCAGACGGGCTTCACACCAGAGCAGTCTTCCTCGCTATTCGTACCTGAGACGTCAGTCTTCAGGAGTCTTGGAGCATCCTTGAGCGAGTTGACCGGCATGCCTACTCCGCCTCATATGCATACCGCCGGTCCATCTTCAGCAGCTCTAGTCGCAGCGACTACTCAGAGGCTCCCCTCGTCTGTCACCTCGTCAGATCCTACGACAGATATCCTAGCAGCTTCACAGGCAGCACCAGCTCCAGCTCAGACCCAGACCGCTTCAGCGACACTTCCTGCCACAGAGGGTCAGTTAGTTCAGAGCTCGTGGTCGATGATGATGGTGCCCGGTTCAACTTTGCCCTCGTTCTTCAAATACTGGCATTCGTCGCTGCTGACCTCGTCGTCAAACCCTAGGTTTTGGTGTTTGACGCCAAAGGGGGAGAGGGTGTTCGAGTATGTAGTCTCAGGGGGAGCTACATTTAGGGGGAGCTAGTTATATAGTATTAGCTTATTATATACATTTGGAGTTTAATTTGTGTGATACACTATTACTTATGCATTCGTGTGTTTACTTTCATGCATACTATTATATACATGTGATAGTGCTATCTACGTGATTGTGATATTTGACATGTGTGATTTCTACTTTGCATTATCTATATGTCATATCACTTGTGTTATGCTCATTTGCTTTTGCTTCCGTGTTTATACTTCGAAGCAAATGAGCTTTGTTACTTGTACTCATGCTTAATTCATATCCTTTGAGTACATTGTGTTGGCTTGGGTCATATAAGCTTGCCTAACTCTTTTGTTCATAACGACAAAAGCTTATATGAACCAAGCCCTTCAAAAACCTCACTCCATAACATACTCGAGGCGGTATTGTCATCAATCACCAAAAAGGGGGAGATTGAAAGCATCTAGGCCCCTAAGTGGATTTCGGTGATTAATGTCGATACAAGATTACTATGACTAACGTGTGTTTTGCAGAGGCAATTAAGTTAGGTCATGGTAATGGAGATTGATTGGGCAATTGAGGTTGTCATGCCCCTACGATGGAAATCGTTTCGGTTTTCAAAGGATGGACGACAAGGTTAAGGATAACTAGTTCTAAGTGTCAATTGAAGTTGGAGAGACACTTAGAGTAGTTTAGGACTTTGTTTTTCCTTTGGTCGTACTATGAAGGGGGGTATGAACGGGTAGCTTGACCTAGTTGAGTCTAGTGAGTTAGGTGTGGTGCACACTTGTTAAAACTAGCTCTAGGTAGCTCCTATGAATGCCTAAGATCGTATGGAGCAAACTTCATTCACATATGATCGAGAGTTGGAAGTGAATGGAGGGTCAAATACTGACCGGACGCTGGCTCCGGTGCGACCGGACGCTGGCCGCAGGGTCCGGTCAGTTTATTTGACTAAGGAGAACAAGTCTGGAGTGACCGGACGCTGGAAGGTCGTGTGACCGGACGCTGGGGGCCAGCGTCCGGTCGACTCCAGTAAGGGTCCAGACTTGAGAAAGTGTGAGCGGACGCGTCCGGTCAGTGGTGACCGGACCCTGTGTATCCAGCGTCCGGTCGTTTACAGTAAGCATCCAAGATCGACCGGACGCGTCCGGTCAGCGCTGACCGGACCCTGTCAGCGTCCGGTCATCACTTGGAAACTGTTGCGCGGGTTGAATTGACCGGAGCGTCCGGTCAACATGATCGGAGCGTCCGGTCATCCCGCAGAAGCTCATAACGGTTCGTTTTTCAGTCTGCCTTATAAATAGAAGCTCCACTCGTGTGTGGAGTTACTTTTGCTCATTCCAACAGCTGAGAAACACGTCTGTGAGTGCCAAGAAGAGCAAGGTCCTAGTGAGGTGTTTGTGATTTGAGAATCCAAGAGTGAAACCTCATTAGTGAATCAAGAGTAGACAAGTGTGCATCCATCTTCTCATTAGGCTTGGCGTGGTCAAGTGAGAGTTCGTGCTTGTTACTCTTGGTGATCGCCATCACCTAGACGGCGGCTTGGTGATTGGGAGCCTGGTGATCACCGGCGGAGCTTGTGGGTGACCCAACTCAAGTTGTGAGCGGTTTTGGGTGATTACGCATGATTTGAGTGTCGAAGAATCAACTCAGAGAGAGCACTTGATCCTGCGCGGATCAAGGGAGAGCTACACCCTCATGCTGGGTGCTCCAACGAGGACTAGTGGGGAGTGGCGACTCTCCGATACCTCGGCAAAACATCGCCGCGTTCCTTTCTCTCTCTATTTACTTTGAGCACTTACTTTGAGTATTTACTTTGAGCAATTCAATACTTGTTTCACATCCATAGAATTGCTTGCTAGAGTAAGTTTGGAACATAGGTTGCGAGGTTGTTGTGCATTAGTTTGACATAAACACTTTTCTAGGCACAAGGGGTTAATTGGGCTATCCGTAGGATTTGATTATTGCAAGAAAATTTAGAATTAGCCCAATTCACCCCCCTCTTGGACATCTTGATCCTTTCACAGACCAGGTTGCATCATTCTTCCATTCGTTTCGAGCTTTGCCAACCCATATAGCCGTTGTATACTGAAACTTTGTTCCATTATCTAAAAATATAGCCATTGTATACATACGGCCTCTGTCGTATTCATCATTTGGTAAGATGTCTTTTTTCTTTAAAAAAAACAACATATATACAAATATTAATATTTTTATAATACACTAAATAATATGTTTCTATAACAAATATATTTGCAGACACAAATCTTTATATTATTTCTATAAATCTAGTAAATAAAACTTATAAATGTTTGACTCTTTAAAAGGTGAGATAGATATATTTTTATTTTAAATTGAGGAAGTACATTATTTTTATTATAGTAAACAAGTAAGCTTTGGATAAGGTAAATCCAAATTTACAGGCATCGAATCGGTAATTCTGTATCCATTAGTTTCCTGGCAGCCAGCTCTGGACACGTTGAGATTCTGTTGTACGTATCAAAGTAATTTTTGGATAAGATAGAATCAAATGACAAGATTTTATATAGATAACACATTCGTTAAACTAAACAATCCTACATATTCTAATAAGGAGAAGAATTCTCATATATTGTAAAAAAACAATCCAATCCAATCCATTGATGTCGGCCCTATCCTTTTTCTTGTACCAACTGTATATATCCTGATGAACCGCCGTTAACCCCTTCCAGCATGGCAAAACCCCTTACCAAGAAACAGATTAAGGACGGGATAACCTTCCCAAACAAACGGATAAAACCTTCGGCCCGCTGTCTCGCTGCCGGTGGGCCACCCGCCATAAACCACACGCGCCGGGCCATCCGCGCCCCCGGCCTTCGCTTTCGCTATCCCGTCCGTGATCATTTGCCTGTCCCTATCGTCCGCACTCCCCCATTTTTTCCTGCGACCAATCCGCGTGCTTGTTTCGTTCCTGCTCCTCGCACCTCGCGCCGCGCCGCCGCCGCAGCAGCCATGGACGGTGACGGCAAGGAGGACGCCAACAAGCAGCGCCTCGAGTGGGCTACCATGAACCTGGAGCGCGGCGTCGTCGTCGGCGGCGAGAAGAATGGTGGCGGCAATGGCAATGCGAGCCGGAAGCCGCCGATAGGCATCGTCCGGCTCTTCTTGGCCTGCATGGTCTCCGGCGGCATCCAGTACGGCTGGGCGCTGCAGCTCTCCCTCCTCTCGCCCTACTCTCAGGTAGTACAGTTCTTCATGTCCATGTCATCTTTTGTACTGTTCTTTGGTGTCTGTTCGTACATGTTTGGTTCTCTGATAATTTTCATTCATGGCCTGATCGATGTTTGGTGTATGCCCGCCCAGACTCTTGGGATCTCGCACAGCTACGTGCCTCTGACATGGATCTGCGGGCCCATCGCCGGATTTGTGGTACATGCATTATATCTTGTAATACTATGATTCTGAGATCTTATCTCTCTTATTACTAAAGATAAAGAACGTTAAATTTTGTCAAATAAATCTGCGCAGTTTATGAAACTGCTCACCTCCGATGTATCTCCATCTTTATGTCCTAGCATTATTGAGGTTTTAATTACCGATATTTATGTTCAAGACATAAGATAATTACCAAGATTTATTTCGAACAGATAAGATAAGATAGAACTCGAAATTAATCACCAAGAGGAGACCGTTTTCATACGTCCGTCCAGTCATCTTCTTCCCCTTTTCCGAGGCCGGCCGGGGATTAACGTGGCTATTACTGGAATTGATTCCGTTGGCAGGTGCAACCCATCGTGGGCTACTACAGCGACCGGTGCACGTCGAAGATGGGCCGGAGGAGGCCCTTCATCCTCGCTGGATGCATCATCATCTGCCTCTGTAAGCTCACATCCTGACATCACACTTTTGCGTTGCGATTCCTTTGCTTTCTGTACTTCACTGCACACTGGCAGTAGAGATTCCCTCGTGTTTGTTTGTTTTTTTACTGATGATGATGGATGCTGGTGCTCCGGCAATGCAAGGTGATGATTATCGGGTTCTCGGCGGACATCGGGCGGCGCATGGGTGACACCAAGGAGCACTGCAGCACGTTCACTGGCTCCCGCTGGTACGCCGCCGCCGTCTACATTGTCGGCTTCTGGTTCCTCGACTTTGCCAACAACACCGTCCAGGGGGCTCGCGCGATGATGGCCGACCTAGCCGGTGAGCATGTGTTTCGCTGGCGGTTTCTATCTGAACTCGATCACACGCACGCAGCGCAGCGCAGGATTAGTGATGCTAATGTTTGTTTGTTCATTTACTGCTGCAGCTGGACAGCACGGCCCCAACGTTGGCCAGGCCATCTTCTCCCTGTGGATGGCTCTCGGCAGCGTGCTCGGATACTTGGTCGGCGCCAACGCGAAATGGCACGAGTACGTAGCCCCGCCTTCTTGTTTTGCTTTGCTTTCCTGTAGCATTTATTCGTGTTGAGATGGTCGACTTATGTGTTGTTGACGCTGCGCTGGTTGCATGATCCATATGCATCAGGTGGCTCCCTTGGCTCAAAACCGCGGCGTGCTGCGATGCCTGCGCGAACATCCATACTCAAGGGCGCCTTCTTGACTGCGGTGGTGAGTTACGATCGGGCACCATTAATGTTGTTGATTCATTCGTTTCTCGTCCGTCTCTCGCTGCACTGAGATTTTGATCGATACTCCTTTGGCCGGTTTGTTGATCAGATCCTCATTATACTCACCATGTCGGTCACCTTGTGGCTCGCCGGCGAGGAGCTACTCGACAAGGAACACGTCGACGGCGCCTCCGTCGGCGCGTGCTCCGCGTTCGTCGATCTCTTCAAGAGCCTCAAGAACCTTCCCCCTGCCATGTTCAGCGTGCTCGCCGTCACGGCCGTCACCTGCGTACGTACGCGCGCCGCGCCGCGCCTCGCCGCACACTGCACCGCTCATCATTGACTCCATCTGACTGACTGGCTGACTGTCTTTGTCGATCGCAGCTCTCGTGGTTCCCGTTCATCCAGTACAACACCGACTGGATGGGGCGGGAGATCTTCCACGGCGAGCCGCAGGGCGCGGGCGGCAAGGCGGACCTGTACGACGCGGGCGTCCGCGAGGGCGCCGTGGGCCTCCTCTTCTGCTCCATCTCGCTGGGCGTCACCTCGTTCCTCATCCCCAAGCTGTGCCGGAAGCTCACGTCCCGGGTCGTCTGGTCCATCAGCAACCTCATGGTGTTCGTCCTCATGACGGCCATGGTCTCCCTCGGTGTGGTCTCCATGAAGGGCTACAAGCCCTCGCTCGCCGCCTCCCTATATGTGGCTACAACATCAACCTGTTGTTTTTTGGCAGCTGTTAATTTCATTGCTGGCCTACATGACGAGCTGTTTCTGCGTTACCCACCCCACCCTCGCGGCACACCGCACACCCATTTGAGGGCTTGGACGCCTCAACCCCTCCCTCCCAGCCTACAAATAGGAGGAGCACCCAAGAACGTAACACACCGAGAAGCCGGTTCACGGGTTCCCGTCGCGCAAAACTGCAACCAACTAGCTGCTAGGCACGAGGGCTTGGCGTCGGGAACCCAGCCAGCCGACGGACGATCGTACGCCGATGGGCCGCAAGATCGTCGCCACCCTCGCGCTGGCGCTGCTGGTGCTCGGCGCGGCCGAGGCCCAGGTCCTGCCGACCCCCTGCTGCCGCATTGACTGCTGCGACGGCACGCCCGAGTGCTGCAGCGCCGGCCCCTGGACGGCCGTGGACGCGGTCACCCCGCCGCCTGCTGTGGCCTCCGCCAGCAACGACGCCAAGCCGCGGTGATTTTTTTTTATTTTTAACACTTTTTTAAACTAATTTTAAATCTAACACTGTTTTAATTTTTTTCTCCAAAACTAATACTTTTGGCCGCGCCTATTTCCGTGGCGCGGCGAGAGGGATGATGTGGCGACGACCGGGGCGCTGACCGGTGACGTGGCAGGGTCTGGCGCGCTAGTGACGCGCCCTGATCGGTGGCGCGGTAGAGCCGGCTAAAGGCCCGTGGCCCAGTCCCGCCTGCCTGCCGCGCCTGGACGCCTGTCCGCCGCGCCTGCCCGTGTCCCCACCGCGAGCGGCACCTGCGAGATCTGGCCGCCCTCTCCTCTTCTCGCCGCGCCAGCGGCTCCCGTAGCAGCCCTGCCTGGCCGCGCCGGCCGCGTCCGCCGCAGACCCGCCTGGAAGAGCCGGCGGCTCCCCGCCGCGGGCTCGCCTCGCTGAGCCAGCCACGCCCCGTTGCGAGCCGTGCCTCGCCGCGGGCCCACCACTACGGTGCCAGAGATTTGTGTCGTGTCTCTCAAGACGCTTATTTGCGTTTCGGTTCGGCTGGTATGCAAAATGCGTCCTCTATTTGGGTCTTCTGTTTGAGCGTGTTTTTTTGGTACCCAAAACAACGTGAACGACCTATTTTGCGTTTGGGTTGTGTTGCTGGAGACAGTCTTACCGGTGGTTATTTAGGGTGTGATAGAGTACTTTGAAGCTTTATGAAGCTAGTAATTTATTTTTCTTAGTATTTACATGCAGACGCTCATATACATACACACTACTTATATGAACACACGGATATACACCTTTTCGTTATAAGCACCCTAAGAGATTGAGCTGGTAGATTTTGAGATTAATAGAGGTTGTGTATATCCATGCACTGAGGATTGAGATGGTAGATCTTGAGATCCATAGAGGTAGGATTGAGATGGTAGATCTTGAGATCCATAGAGGTAGTATATAGATCTTGAGATCCATAGAGGTAGTATATAGACCTAACAATGAACGAATAGCTCTGTTTTTTCTAAAATAAATTCTAAATAAGGAAAAAATAGGCACTTTGAATCCAAGGAAACAAGTTAGATTACAAGGAATCTAATCAATGAGCTACGTTGAGTCCGCCGTCATTCGCGAGCCTCCTAGCTCGGGAATTCAAGCAAAATCCACAAAGACGTTGCAAAGAACAATGTAAATTCTAGTAAGAGCACATATCAATTATCAAACACAAAAAATCACTAGTAGGGCAGCATTGTACTCGTAGCTCTCGTCAAATACCTTAAATCAATAAACACATAAACATTTGTAGCGAAACGTGTTACTAAGAATCATCATCTGATAATTTAGCACAATGTAGCAATAAGATTGATTGTTACACATTGATCTTATTCACAACAACTACAGCGGTAAAGCTTTCGCATCCCAAAAGCTTTTGGACCTGCTATGAATAATTCAACCATATACATACCCCGACAAATTCATGTCTTCCCAAAAGCTAGATGGAGCCAAGCTTAGCGGGAACGCTCGAGCACTTCGTTTCCACCTAGCCAGGCTAAGTGCCTGTCAGTGGTCTTCTAGGGCCTGGCTAAGAGGCCTCTTCAGCCAACCAAACAAACTCAAGTTGACTTAATGGAGCCTGACTAGGGGAGTAGCCTGGAAACCAAACACGACCTATGTGGCTAAAACATGGACCTAGTGTGTTTTGTTAGTATAGTAAGTTTCAGGTATCAATATGGCTGCCGTTAATTTCAGATATCACGAGCCAGGGAGATAGATATGACAACATTTAATTTCAGATTTTACCTGCCAAGAGAGATACGATAGCTGTTGGTTGCCGTCCTCGATCACGAGGCCACAAGAAACTTGGTGTGGTGTGTTTTGTTAATAATCCCTCTGTCCTATAATATAGTGTATTATAGAAATTTTAAGACAAATTAACAGGGAATATAAAAGATGCATACATCCTTATTTTACTTCCTAATCAAATACTATCATCGACATGATTAATGGTGATTGGACGATAAATATAAAGTATTTAATGCAAAATTGATTTTTTGTCATCTAGAATGTATTATATTTGAGGACAAATTTTAAATGCTAGAATGTACTATATTACAGGACTGAGAGAGTATAGTATAAGTTTTAGCTATCAATATGGCAGCTGTTAATTTAAGATATTACGAGCCAGCAAGGGAGATGATGTATATGACAACATTTAATTTCAGATTTTACCTGCCAAGAGAGATACGTCAGTTGTTCATTACTGGCCTGGATCACGAGGCCATGAGCCATTTCTGCATTACCCTCCTCGCCACACCCAGTCATTTGGCCTGCAGTGCACATCCTCAAACCCTCGAAGCCTACAAATAGGAGTGCCCAAGAACGAAACACACCACGCTAATCTAGAAACGCAGCCGGTTGACGGGTCCCGTCTCGCAAAACTAAAACCAACTAAAGGAAGGCAGCCACCGGACGATACCACGCGCCATGTGCTGCAAGATCGTCGCCGCCCTCGCGCTAGCGCTCGTGGTGCTCGGCGCGGCCGAGGGCCAGGTCCTGCCGACCCCCTGTTGCCGCTTTGACTGTTGCGACGGCATTCGGTGCTGCGCTGCCAGCCCCGGGACGGCCGTGGACGTGGTCACCCCATCCCCGTCGCCCGCTGTGTCCTTCGCCAGCAACGACGCCAAGACTTGGCCTGGTCGTGCGTCTCTCAAAATCGGCGCTGGAAACTAGTATTGTACCGGACGCTGCATCTGTGTCATTGTATGTCTACTGGCACCAGCAAGAGCAACCACAATGTTACAGAAAAGTAGTCCATAGTTATTAGAATATTATCTATCTAGCTGGAACATCACGATGGTAGTCTATAACTAAAGCTACTCATAGTTTTATCGACTAGTCATAAGGAATAAACAAATAATTTTTTCAAACTCCTCGTTCTCCCTACTTGCCTCTCGCACCTGTGGCTGCCGTGACCATGGCGAGGAGCTGCGCTTGGGGTCGGCGACTGCCTTGCGCCATGGACAGCTCGCCGGTTGCTCACGGCACCGGCAGCTCCGTGCGCCTTGGAGGTTGCCGGGCGGTCGGCCGTGCAGTCCATCAGCTCGCCACCTCAGGCCTCAGCTATCCGCGCAAGCCGCACACTATGTCGCCCCGGTCTCGACTGGCTCGGTCATCCGCATGGGTCACGAGGTCGATGGCTCGGCCGTTCATGCCACCCGTGAGGTAGCCGTTTGGTGCCCGAACGACTCAAGGAGGAAGCAGTTAGGGGCTTCAGATCTGATGTAACCGAGGGTCCATCCGGGCGGAGGGCGCTCGATTCAGGTGTCCGGTGAGGGGCATACGGTGGCCTTGGAAGATTGAGGGCGAAGAGTGTGAGCGTCGCGAAAATGAGCGGAGAAGAAGATGCGGACGCTGCGAGACGGAGGGGAGAAGAAGAGCAGGCGTCGGGACCTGGGTGACGGAGCGCAGAAGTTGGGTACTGGATGTTTTTTTATTTCCTAGTGGACCCCGCCTTAATGGGCTGCACATTGTGGAGAATGCAATATCTAAAGATCACTGACACAGGGTCCACTCTTATGGACTGGTTTGCAATATACATCAGCCTTGCTCTAAGCTGTGCCGTTCTCGTGTTTGCAACTTGCGAGGCTCACCCATTCTTGTCCTATATTCCTATTTGGTTTTGTGGGGGCGTTTGGCTAGTTGAATCGTTTCCGATTCTTTCGAGAATCACTTGGAATGGCACCAAACGAGTTACAAGCCAAACATTTTAGCCGACAAACATTTCTCACGTATTGTGCTTGCTTAAACCTGCCGAACGCCTCGCGACGGACGCGCGACTCGCAGTCGCCCGCGGCGTGGAGTCTGAAGAAATGAACTAGACCCCCCCCCCGATTTCCAAAACGTGGTCTCCGAGCCACGTTCGCTCAAACGCGAACGCACGATACGGCATCGGGGAAACAAACATGCCCTTAGATTGGTTCTAGAATCGGCTGGAGGGTGATTTCGCACCGATTCTCTTTCTGTTCTCTTGCTTTCTGTACGTGCTATGAGAATCTAGAAATATATGTGATTTGTTTCATAACATGTAACTTCTAAAAGATACACATCTGCTTCACGAGAAAATGTTGCTTCAAATAAATGAAAAAAATTTAAGCATGAAAACAAATTTTCTAAATAAAACAATTTCAGTGGATGAGCTATATATAACCCTTACCACTGGTTATCTGGGATGTGTTATACTACTTTGAAGCTATATAAGAAGCTAGTAAAAATGCAGAATACCCTATTCACCATATGAAATTAAAGCTTAGTGAATAGTTTTCATATCCAAGGCTTGTAAATTGTAATTGTGTTTAGTAGATATCTTAGCGAGTGATTAGACCTTAGCTTGTGAGAGCAAGAGAGTTGGCCTGAGTGCACTTGCAATCTTGGTGTGCCAGAGCCTTGGAGCCTTGGTGGTTCCTTGGCAACATCGATGACCCTCCAAGCTTGGTGGGAGTGAAACTTAGTATTTGGGGATGAGGAGAACCCCTCCTTGGTAGAGAAATTTTAGAGAGAGAGAGAGAGTTGGGTAGCTAGCGATGAGCCTTAGTGGTTTGCCATTCTGTCTTGGTTGGCGGGGCCTTTATAGTGAGCCCAACACCATAGTCTAACACCATGACCAAAGGCAAACCTTGGTGGTTTTGCATAGCAATTGGCTCCATAGGATACATAGCTGCGCCTAGGGACTTTGCCCTTTCTTGCTTTTTTGTTTTACTTACAACATTTACACTTCTACTTGTGTGTGCCTTTACCTCTCCTAGGTTATCTTAGGCTACTTGATAGAATTAGTTATAGATTGCAAAACTCCTTGGTAGATAATAAGTAGAGGCACTAGATAAAAACATAGGTGCACTTATTACTAGAAAGTTGTTTTGTTTATCTTGTGTAGAATCAAGTATTTATCCTCAGTTAGAAAAAAATTAGTGACTCAATTCACTCCTTCCTCTCTTGGATCACACCTTTGGGCCGTTGCAAGGACCATGATTCCCCTTCACTAAGTAGATTTCATTATTACTAGTCCTAAAATTTACGGAGAATGAACTTTCCTAACCACAGGGATGGGAGGGGCCTCCGTCCATTGCCTCGACTCATGGGGGCGCAATGCCCGGGCCATCGGGCGATAGCCACTGGTGAAAGGTCCTAATATGGCTAGAGGGGGGGTGAATAGCCTATTTAAAAATCTACAAATCAACTAGAGCAATTTGATTAGTATGACAAATAGCGTAATGCAAACTTGCTCTAGCTCTACAAGGGTTGCAAGCCACCTATCCAACAATTCTAGTTGCAATGAATACTTAGGCACACAAACTAGCTATGTAATTACTCACTAAGAGCTCTCAACCTTGCTACTCTAAAGAGCTCAACTAGATGAATGTAAATAATAAAGCAAGCTCTCAATTCTAATTACACTAAAGAGCTTGTATCAACTAGTTTGCAAGAATGTAAATGAGTGAGTAGAGTGATTATACCGACATGTAGGGGATGAACCAATCACAAGATGAATATATAGCCAATCACCGGGAGAATGACAAAGAAGAGAGACAATCGATTTTCTCCCAAGGTTCACGTGCTTGCCAACACGCTACGTCCCCGTTGTGTCGACCAACACTTGGTGGTTCGGCGGCTAAGAGGTGTTTCACAAACCTCGTCCACACGATTGGACACCGCAAGAACCGACCCACAAGTGAGGTAACTCAATGACACGAGCAATTTACTAGAGTTACCTTTCGGCACTCCGCCGGGGAAGGTACAACTCCCCTCACAATCACCGAAGGCGGCCACGAACAATCACCAACTCGTGCCGATCCTTCACCGCTGCTCCAACCGTCTAGGTGGTGGCAACCACCAAGAGAAACAAGCGAAATCCGCAGCGCAACATGAATACCAAGTGCCACTAGATGCAATCACTCAAGCAATGCACTTGGATTCTCTCCCAATCTCACAATGATGATGGATCAATGATGGAGATGAGTGGAAGGACTTTGGCTAAGCTCACAAGGTTGCTATGTCAATGAAAATGTGCAAGAGAGCTCCCTTGAGCTGGCAATGGGGCTATAAATAGAGCCCCCATCAAATAGAGCCGTTGTACCCCTTCACTGGGCAAAACACGCTCTGACCAGACGCTCCGGTCATACCGACCGGACGCTGGCCCTCAGCGTCCGGTCGCCCGATGGACGCCACGCGTCACCAGCTTCAAACGTTGTTCGTCAGATTTCAACGGCTACGAAGCTGACCGGACGCTCCGGTCGAAGCTGACCGGACGCTGAAGCCCCAGCGTCCGGTCGTTTCCAGTAAGCTCCCCGAGGCATGTTTTTTCGACCGGACATGTCCGGTCCACCTTGACCGGACGTAGACCAGCGTCCGGTGCTCAACCCTACCCACTGTGTCGTCTGATAGCTCGACCGGACGTAGCCTTTCAGCGTCCGGTCGCTGAGTGACCCAGCGTCCGGTCAGTAGACCGACGCCAGCATCATTTCGACCAACTCCATTTCAACTCTAACTTCTTCACCCTTGCTCAAATGTGCCAACCACCAAGAATTTTGCATCCGGCGCAATAGAAAATAGACATTTCATTTTTCCAAAAGGGCCGAATTCCAAAAGGGACCCAAACCCATCTCAACCCTGCAAACACCTTGTGCACATGTGTTAGCATATTTTCACAAATATTTTCAAGGGTGTTAGCACTCCACTAGATCCTAAATGCATATGCAATGAGTTAGAGCATCTAGTGGCACTTTGATAACCGCATTTCGATACGAGTTACACTCCTCTTAATAGTACGGCTATCTATCCTAAATGTGCTCACACTCACTAAGTGTCTTGATCACTAAAACAAAATGGCTCCTACATTTTATACCTTTGCCTTGAGCCTTTTGTTTTTCTCTTTCTTCTTTTCCAAGTTCAAGCATTTGATCATCACCATGCTATCACCATTGTCATGATCTTCGTCATTGCTTCATCACTTGGAGTAGTGCTACCTATCTCATAATCATCTTGATAAACTAGGTTAGCACTTAGGGTTTCATCAATTAACCAAAACCAAACTAGAGCTTTCAACTGGCGACCCAGAAAGACCTGCATCGTCGCCAAGAAGCCCTAGGCGGCTCCTGTCTTCGCCCCTTGGAGGTTAAACCTCGGGAGGACCCAACTCCGGCGCAACGCGGGTATGCCGCGTGATCTTCGGAGGAGGACCGCTCCCGGACTCCCACGGCCACCAAAGGCCATCCTATGAGAAGTTAACATGGTAGGGGTAGCCCCGCGCTGGTACCTCAGCTGGTCAGAGGTACCGATCACCTTTGGTCATCGTGACTATATCCCCACCATGTGCCTAGCCCGAGCCGCTTCCTGCTCGGCATCGGCCCCATTGTCGGATGGGCCCGACTCACGATGGTGCTGATGGATGGGGGAAACGGCCTCAATATCCTCTACGCCGACATGCTGGATCGCATGTGGATTCCGAGGGAGAACCTCCGCCCCGGTGGAGCTCCCTTCTTTGGGATCATTCCCGGGGTCCAAGCCATCTCCCTTGGGAGCATTCAGCTCCCCGTCACATTCGGGGATCCCACCAACTTCTGAAAGGAGCTCCTTAACTTTGAGGTGGTCGACTTCTCTAGCCTGTACCATGCCTTGCTGGGGTGGCCATGCTACGCGAAGTTCATGGCCATCCTGCATTACGGCTGCCTAAAGCT